CTCTGTTGCTTGTGAAGCTCGCACACAAGAATTTCACTCACATGTACTGTACCAGTGTACCTGCACATGTGATGTGACAATAAAAGTGATTTGATTTGAAAACTGATGGATTGCAGATAAACCTGAGGTTACCTCACTAACTGAATCCAGCTTCATATGACAGACATCTGCTACCAGAGCCACAGGTGTGACTTTGACACCACAAGATTTTACACACTAGCTCCTCTGATCAGTAATAATCAGCACTGTTCTTGAGATAAATCAGACTAAGCAAATTCTACCTGAGAGTTTCTTTTATATAAAGAACATGTCTACATTGTAACAAAAAGCGGTCTCCTTGGCTGAACTGGAGAAAATTAATCAGTGTTTTTTAGATTACAGTAATGTCCTGTTTACTGGCTTAGATAAATCTGAGCTATACAACAACAAAAATGAATAATTAAATAAAAAAACAAAAACCGATCATCAGACTATTAACGAGTTCTATTAAGCAAGTTCTTTCTATTTTATACTCTTTACAGAAGCTCCCAGTAGACTTTGATTCATTTTAATGTTAAATTTCAATTATATAGCAATGTATTTATTCCTAGTTTTTTTGTGTACAGTATTTTGTGACTGCTTGTCTGTGAAAAGCACTTTTATAAATAAGCTTTAATTTAATATCTCCCTGTATGAGGCCTTGAATTACTCTAAAACGACTAAAGACATCACAAAGAGCCACAAACACCCCATAAACGTAATAAACCTTCCCTGCAGGTTTATATTAATGACTCACCTGCTGGAAATCCAGTGTAATGTTTCTAATATTTTTAATAATTGCACAAAATTTAAATCATATCACAAAAAACGTCAATGCACATAAAAACACAGATTTCTCGTGGATTTCTAAAACTTGATAACAGAGTGAAAACTTACTGTGAGTAGTGTGTCAGAGCTGCTGAAGAGTCACAGCTTCGCCTCCTCTTTGCTCTCGGTTTGTAGATTTCTCTCCTGTTAATGACAAAGAGTGTGAGAACGAACCGCGGTGCATATTAATTGTCTAATTAACAGCTCAAAATCCAAACGCGGACTTGTGGACGTCTAACATAAATAATAAAAGCTTGCGAACAGGTATAATGATCTGAATCTACAGCCTTGGCAGGTAAGATGAAGAAGCAGTTTTGGAAAATAAAAGCTCCCGCCCGCTTCCTGAGCAGGCCTCGGGCTGTGGCTAAGGCTAACAGCGGTGTCGCCGTTGGGTTCAATTTACTCCTGCTCGCCGTTTAGGTCTCTTCGCAGACTTATCTGCACTTTGGGTGTAGCAGAAGCCTCCAAACAGGAGAGCAAGGCCCACGGGTGTTTAACCACAGCGGATCATTCACGAAGCAGAAGCTAACTGTTTTCGTAGTGGTAAAAAGCGCGCAAAACATTGTGCTCTTATTTCGAAGGTTTGTACCGGCGGTGCCGACGTAAGCGGCCACAAAAAGCTGCACATGCTTATTTTAGCGACAGCTAATGCACATACGTCTCGAGCTGTAATAAACAAATTGCGTAAATGCGCGATTTGACGCCACAAAAAAGTAAATAAAAGCAGAAAAGTACCTTCTAATATCCGCGATCTTCAGCCATAATCCACGTGACATCGAAGTTCTCGCGAGACGACAATATTGCTCAAAGAGAAACTGGTTTCGGTCAAGATAGACACCGTCGCTCCCTGACAAAGGACGACAGTTGGGGAGGGTTACTATCGTTAATACGGAATTACAGTAATAGCAAAAAATAAAAGAATTCATTTCATTTATATTTAACCCTTTAATCTATAGAATACGAAATATACACATACGAAGTCAATAAAAAAATGTTGCCTAGAAAATAAGAAAATAATTTTAAGCGACACTGATTTTGAAATGTTCAAAAGTGCTGTTGTTGGCTGATATTTATAAATAGCATAGCTGTGTTACCAAGTAGACTGTATCTGTAGGCTATTTATCTGTCAACAGTCATGCACATGTATTTTTATATTTCATATTATATCATTACTATTATGTCCTAGTAATAGCAATAATAATATGCACTGATAATATATAATAATATATTCGACTTTTTCCTGCTTTACTTACAACATGAGCAAGACATTATTTTGTGTGCAGCCTATTTATGACTCAACTATATGTACATTCAAGCGTAAAACATCGTTTTTATGATGTTTTCATTTTGGATTTTAAATATAAGTTCAGATGTGTACAGCCCAAAGAGGGAAACATTTTAATCTAAACAGTCGACCAAGGAACACACGAGGAAATAGCCACAAATAAATAACAGTAATTCAAACTCATTAAATACTGAACAAAAACTTTATTAAATGGAAAAAGTGAAGACACCAACATCTGCCTAACTTTAGATTTTTTTTCATACAAAATATGTCTAAAATAATTTATGTTTCTATAATAGTGGAAGTTTTTAAGTTCAGACACTGTGTGACTGATTTAAGTGTTCGTCAGAGAGATGTCCTGTGGAAAGAAACTGCACAGATGTCTGCTTGTTTTGGTGTACAGTGCTCTGTAGCGCCTACCGGAGGGAAGAGTTGGAACAGGTTGTGTCCAGGTTGTGATGGGTCTGCAGTGATGTTGTCTGCTAGTTTCTTTGCTCTGGCTTTGTACAAATCGTGAATCGAGGGTAAGTCGGGAGCAATGGTTCTTCTGCAGTCCTGACTGTCTGTTGTTGTCTGCTCTTTTTCTGTTTACTGGCTGATCCAAACCGTACGCCGATGGATGAGCAGAGAACAGACTGGATTATTGCAGAGTAGAACTGGATCAACATCTCCTGAGCTGCAGCAGGAAGTGAATCCTCTCCTTTTGATGATAGTGTCCATACTGGTGGCCGCTTCAGGTTGCTATCTGGAAACTTAACAATTTTGACAGATGGGTCTTCTAAGGTGTCATCATTTGTGTAGAGGGAGAAGACTTATTGCAGCGTAACTAAGGGAATCCTTCCTTATGCTGCTGGGAGATTCCCATGATGCACTGGGTGTTTCTCCTTCAGTCACCTTTCTTGCTATGTGTTAACAGACCTCTCTGCAGTGAATCATACTTGTTATTAACCTCTGTCTCTCTTCCACAGCATGTCTTTTGTCCTGTCTTCCTTCTCTCTCTCCAACTGGTCGCAGCAGATGGCCCCGCCCCTCCCTGAGCCTGGTCCTGCTCAAGGTTTCTTCCTGTTAAAAGGGAGTTTTTCCTTCCCACTGTCGCCAAAGTGCTTGCTCATAGGGGGTCATATGATTGTTGGGGTTTTCTCGGTTTTCTTTGTATTATTGTAGGGCCTTTACAATATAAAGCATTTTAAAGGCAACTCTTGTTGTGATTTGTTGCTATAGAAATAACAACAAATTAAACTGAATAGAAGAGACGAGGAGGGAGGACACAGTCCTGAAATGTGATTCTCCCCAGTCTCACCTGCTGCTTCCTGTCATTCAGAAAGTTTGTGATCCACTGACAGACGGAGGCTGGGACAATGAGCCGAGTGAGTTTGGAGCGGAGGACTCCAGGACATGTAACAGTGCAGTCGAGGTGTTGCAGTGTTGAGGTGCACTCCTATGTTGACACCATCATCCACTGAACTGTTTGACCAGTAGGTAAACTAAAGGAGTGGAGCAGGGGACATGTGATGTCTTGCAGGTAGGTCAACATCAATCTCTCAAAGGATTTCATGACTACAGACGTGAGGGGCACAGGCCTGTAGTCATTAACCCAGTGATAGAGGGTTCCTTGGGGACTGGGATAATTGTGGATCGTTTGAAACAGCAGGGGACTTCACACAGCTCCAGGGATCTGTCGAAGATCAGTGTGAAGATGGGAGGCAGCTGATCAGCACAGCCTGGTAACATCATGATCTTCTGTCTCCTGAAGAGTTGCCTCACATCTTTTTCACACAAGGTGGGGTGTGGGTGGGTGTGGACGTGGCTATGTCTTGTGGCTGGAGAGGCTGAAGGGTGTGAAATAATAAGAGTAATAAATAAAAACAATATGATATTTGGTTTCATACAAGTGTTTGGCGCTATTTAGTGTTCGGCTTGCACTCACGTTTATTCAAGAAATCTGTCATTTCAGAAATCTTTGACTGAATTTATAGTTTAGGAAATAATCAAACTGATGTTTAGCTACAGTCTTACTTCAGATTTCCTCTTAATCACATTTGGAGGCCATAATAATGTGCAGGAAAATAATAAACTGTATGCAACAGTGTGCAGCTCAGGCACTAAAACACTGTTTTGCACTCATCGTGCATCATGCATGGAGTGAAGGAGCTGATTATTCCAGAGAAAAACACCTTCAGCCCCACATTCAGCCCAACAGGCTGCTGTGAGCTGTTATCCTGCTTGGGTAATTATGGCACATTATCCTGCTCACGTGTGATATTCTTCTTGCTTTTAGCCATAATTAGACTCATTCATCTGCAGCAGAAGATTTGTTCTGTAGCTTCACAGGAGAAAACTGCTGCTCTTGGGATCACTTCAGAAAAAAAGAAGAAGAAGATTAAAACAATATCCTGCAGGTGTGTTTATTGTTTTTGTTGACAGCTAATTAAAAATTCTAGCCTGAAGCAATATGTCCCAAACTGGCAAATGTGGACTGTATTAAATGTGGAGAAGTGCTTTCCCCACCTCAAACATGATTGTTTTTGGCAGCAAATATTTTCAGATAGATTTTCAAATGATCTTTTTATGTGTGTGGGTTGTTCAGCAGCATCTAAAGCTAAAGATCCATATCGTTACACATCTCTAAAGCGCAATAACTTTGTGTATAAACCTCACAGAGCAACAGCTGAGGCAGGCAGATGTAGTAAAATACAAATATTAAACGCGTTCGTTTAAATGACATCAGAGGACAGTGAATAAATATTTTTAAAGTTAAACCATGGCTCCGATTTCTGATGTTCATGCACAGAAAAAAGGAAATAGAGGAAGTTTGGATTATATTTTATATTTTTAATAATAACAAAGCTACAGTAGCACTTCCGACCTTTCTGCACTGCATTAAAATGCCTCCACACCAGGGGGCGCTGCAGGCTCAACTACAGTAGGGTGAAAGGAGCTTGCATGCTCCTTTGACTACGATGACCTGGATGACTGAGAACCTTCACAGACATACAGTAGGGTGATTTGAACTCAAAACGTTATTTATTTATTTACGTATTTATTTATTTATGTATCTATTATGACAACAATAATAAAGCTTATACAAATGGATTTAATATAAATGCAGTAGTCATGTAAGAAAGAAAGACAGAAACATTGTTTTATGGTCTTGATGTTTTCGTACTGGCGACAGTTACACCCATAAACCGTTTGAAAGCACCATTCGATGAAGACATTTTATAGTAATACAGCTGAGTTTTACTGCATTATTATTTATCGCTTGCTGGCACACAAACTTCCTCTCATGGCTGTCCACATGAGGCCACAACATGGTTAGTGATGAAAGTTCATTACAAGAATATGTGGCCCTTAAATGTGCCAAAAAGCGGACTCTGTAAAAACACGATGTCTGAGCAATAAAAAAGAAAAAGATTTTTTTTTTATGTTTATGAAAACGCCTAAAAATCTTTCCATTCAAAGACGGAGAGGTGGATCGATGCTTCCTCGGATGTTTTTCTATACAGGAAGATAAATATATCAAAGATGGTGCACACTTTGAAACAGGGCTCACATCCTGTTTCTTTGTATTTTCTTCACTTCGTTGTAAAACACATGCAGTGGATATAATGCATCGCTCTGTTTCTTTAACCGCTTATCCACCTTTCGATCATAGAGAGAGCTGGAGCCTTTCCCAGCTGTCACACCCCGGACAGGTCACCAGTCCATCGCACACTCACACCCACACTCACGGTTTAGAAACATTTAACCTGGCACGCATGTCTCCGGATTGAGGGAGGAAGTCCGGAGAGAATCCACGCAGGGACAGGCAGAAAATGCAAACCATGCAGAAAGGCCCCGGCTCGCCAGGATGTTCCAAAAAAAAACCTCGCTGTGAGAGGACAGTGTTAACCTCTGCACCCTGTGCACTGATATAATGCACCACATCTAAAGCACTGTCAGTGATTGCTCTTTCTTTACGCTATCAGAAATGTGCATCTTTTAAAACGTAAAAAATAATTCAGACTGACACATCAAAAAGCTATTTTCCTTTTATTTTAGTCCAAAATGGGTGAGGGATAGAAGCGAGGGCTGAGGTTGTCACACACTTAAATGCCAAACCTATAAAACATCCACTTTCAGTAACGACACACTCAATCATTCAACTCGTAAAAAAGAGAGAAAATAAAATTGTTCCTCAGTTAGCTTCTAAATATTCAGTGAAGGACTTTTTAAAAGTTATTTTTGTGTGTACTTTGTCTCTGTACTGCACCACGATGGTCCTGTGTGGTCATTTTTGTTACTCAGCTGGGGCTGCTGGGGCTCAGGAGGTAGAGCGGCTTGTCCACTAATTGGAAGGTCAGCTTTATCCCCTGATGCCTGGAAGGTAGATGGTTGAATGAAGCTTACAGTATGAAAGTGCTTTGAGTGCTCAAATAGAGTAGTGTTAAGTACCAGTCCACTTTACCAGCCCATGTTGGAGGGCCTGATGGAACCACTGTATTAAATCAATATTGTAGTAATTTATGCTTA